GCCTCCCCGCCCCGGCCCCCGGCCGCGGCGCGGTGCTCGGGCGCCACCCGCTGGAGCGCGGGCGAAGCTGGAAGAAGAAATCTTCAGGATCATTTGAATTTCTAGACTACTGATATCTTGTCATATTGATGAAATGATATGTCAATGCCATGGGTCAATGGTGACTGACATCCCCTGAAGATGTATTAAGAAGCCATTGTGGACACATATTCTGGATTTAGAGCCACGTGATAATAAATTGGGAGGGTTGTTTTTAATATTAGCATTTCAATGAAACCTAATCAATGACCTTTTTGTCTTTGTAGAAGACAAAAAGGTTTTCCTGTTGTGTTTTCAGCACAAAAATAAAGTTGATGTGGCTAGGAAAATTACTAAGAAACCATTTTAGCCTGTCTCAGAAAGATCATTCATCTCAGTGTTTCTTGCCAAAACACTACCTAGGAAAATATTTATTAAACAGACAGGGCTTTTCTTTATCTTGTTCATTCTGTCTAGAAAAGCAGTCTAGTGACAACAACTCTCCAGGATAAACTTAAGCTCCCATATAAATTACACTATCTGCCACCAGACTATGCCATGATAAACTGCAGCTTCCAGTGCATCATGCTCCACTACGTTTCAAATAACTAACATGCTCAAGGCCAATCTATTCACTCACCACTGAAGGAAGCAAACGTCCTTGGCTAAAGTTTATTTGCTGATATTCAATTTTCCTCATCCCTTCAATCAGAGATACAAAAAAAATTTTACTATATGCATATGAAGCCCATAGTTTCAGGGGCCTCAGGGAAGACCAGATCTAGCACTGTGGAGCTAGTACTCACACACTTAGCAGAGGTAGAGAGAGAAGCTCTATTAAATCCCTCAGGGCACTTTTCCACCTCAAAACTTTCCTAACTATTGCCACTTAAATATCTGCCTTTAAAAAAAAAAAAAGTCAACATTAAAACATGCTTGTTGGTAAATTTTATGTGAATTTTATGTAAATTCAGCAATTGCCAAGTGCTATTCTGAATAGAAAAACCTATAAAAAATTGGGACAGAAGGAACCATATGATGATGATCATGCAGAGAACTTCGCCATTGCTAAACTGAATCAATTCGATACACAGGAGATCAGGAAGAGCAGCACACTGGCACAGTGGACCACACAGTATTCATTTCAATCCACCTGCCCAGGTTAATGCACACATCCAGCAGTAGGAACTCTCCAAGCAGTAATGGGCCAACAGAGCCATCTAAGATGCTGTTCCATGGGCTACTCATTTTTTTGAAGTTTTGTTCAGCAAGAGACTTCACCTCCTACATAAAACTTGCATCACTTGTGGAGTCACATATGCATTTTTTTTTTTTTAAATCATACTTTCATGGAAAGACAATGTATCCTGTAAAACGTACTTCCTTTCAGGTTGCAATTAGCGCAACCCTAAGCAGCAGGTCTCTCTTTCATAATGCCACCTAAATAGATTAGTGAAAGACAGTTTCTGGGGAGACAAAGAAAAAAGGGGAAAAAAAGAAAAAGCCTATCTGTCTGACAGCTTTGCATACTTGAAGAAGCCATTGCTAAATAAAACAGAGTGTTTGTGTCCACATCCTTCCACACACTTCTCACATCATTTTGCCTCCCTGTTCTATGGAAATAGAAGTTTACAGGTCTAGGAGCCTATGGCAATTCCTTGAAATATATTTCAGAAGAGTCATTTCATCACAGACTCATCTGAAATGCAGTTCAGCAAGTTTTAGATGACTTACCCAGCTATTTCCCAGTGCATCACACTCCCACTCTCCTTGTATTCTATACTGCCTGTAACACCAAAACTGATATTGCTCTGTTGAATGAAGCATTACTAGTACAGAGTTGAAACAAACACCTTCTGCACTCCAGCCACTATCAACTGAAAGACTTGGGAAGTGAAGAGACTGAAAAAAGTTAACTGATACTACTCAGAGGAAAAAAAAAAATCTAAAAAGTTTCTAATCTAATTAGAAGCTGAAGGTCAGCGATAGCCTATGCACCTCTACACACAGTGTGCCAGGGGCCATGCGCTGTACTCGTTTGGACACCGCCTCCCTCCCTTTGTCATGAGCCGAAAACACACCAATGATCACACTGTCAATTTATATCCCTCCATTCTGAGCTTGGATAACACCTATGTTAAAAGCTAATCCTAAATACCAGGATGAGAGCCCTGCTCAACAGCTTCAATCAGCAGGTACATTGCAACATACTACCACCATGAACTAAATAATGTATAAAAGTGTTTTTTACATATATACACACACAATCTTTTATCTATATAAAAAATATATATTTATATATTATATATGTCTCATAATGTATATATAACTGTATCTATAAACTCACCTCAAAACTTTTTTTTTCACCCCAGCTAATCCACAGCTCGGGAAGGCAGTCCCACAGGGAAGTTTGTGGTATTCCCTTACCTCTCACATGAAATGCCCAGAACCTTCTTTTGAGCTTTCCTTCTTCAGTATGTATAGAGAGTATTTATTAAAAAGCCCTGACTCCACCAAAACAAACATTACATTGTGAAAACAATTCTCCTGGTGGGGAGAACAACAAAGCCTGATCCACGGAACAGATATTAGTCACACCACTGCTTAATGCACTCCTGAAAAGCACTCAGCTACTGTTGGGGAAATAGAAACCCACACAGACTAAGAAAGCCACACTTCTGTATCTATAGCAAAAGCATTAAAAAATAAACTTTCAGTGTTGTTTACCACCATAAGCCACAAAGTCAGCTAATATTTGTATATTGCATATGAACTGATTATCATCAAGATAAACATGAGCTAATTCAAAGTCAACTCATTATTAACCCTACACACTCGAATTCAAGCGTACAAAATACCTATCTCACCCTTTTGTGACAGAATCTACTAAACAAAACTGTTATCAGCTTGGGAAACAACAAAGCTGACAATAACAGAATGGTTCAAAAAGAATTACAGTTCCCCAAGGCAATCGGGGCACGCAGATGAAATAAGGTACCTTAATCAAAAAAGATAAGAAATCCCTCTGCAGACAACTTTCTCTTCTAGAAATCCAGCCTTGCAGTTCAGATTTGCCATATCTACAGACTATATCACAGACTTAAACTACTATACACTTATTTCTCTGTGTGACCAAGTTGGCGGTATGAGTCTGTATTACAACAGAAAGTAAAGCATTTTTCAAGACAATTGCAGAACTTATTGGAGTACTGGTTAATGTAAGTACATACACTCAGAGGTGTTCAGTAAAATATTCAGGTACCAAAACATTTCATTTTTTAAAAATAAAAAATAAAAAATTGAGGAGCACAGTCATCACTTTAACATGTTTGCCAGCAAGCCACCAGTCAGCAAACCAACAACTTTCAGATATCAAGACCCAAATTAATTTTGCTGCTTTTCCCCTCAGGGGATCCACTGTCAACATATTCTTCTTCCTGTGCTCCATAGTTCTCATTTGACCTCCAAACTAGCACGACAGTCCCCCATTTCAAAAACATGGCTTTGTCCCTAGAGTTAGCATTATCTATCAATGGCTTGTGCTCTTTCCAGTAATTCGTGCTGGCTCTGCAGCCTTTCATTCTGTATGCCTCTCTATAGCTTTACCTCAGCTTTTAACACTTTACCTGTATCAATCTGGAGATACCACTTGGAATGTGGAAGTGTGATGATGAAAGTGCAGCAACATAACCATTCTATCATCAAAACAGTATTTGGCTGGCGAGCTTGAGATTTTTGTTATTCCAGATATAAATAAAACCAGTTACTAAGATGTGGCAGCAGAGAACAACATATGCTCTCAAATAGCAGCCTGCAACAGTATGAAGTTATGCTTTTACTCATTGCCTTTAAAAATCTGCACCTTTTCTTTAGCCTTTACTTTTGCATTCAAAAGTGGATTCCCTTTGCCAAACTTGTCCATTATTATAAAATAATTATTGAGAGGCATTAGCCTCAATTATCCAGCAAAGCTGCTTGATCATGTAATTATAACGCAATTCTGATTTGTGATATCAGTATGTTGCCATGGCATTGAATATAGCTTCAGTTCAAAACAAATACCAATATCCAAAAGCTCAATGATTTTCAACTCCTGTGCAGTACTGAAACCTAATCACCTTAGCGGTTACTCACAAACCCAGACAACGTGTGTGTGTGTGTCTGTGTGTGTGTGTCCCCATCCCCCAAAATTCCTCTTTTCAAGAAAGGGTATCTGAATCTATGCTTGCAGTGACAGGAGACATATTACAGTGCCTCATCCGATGTCTCATCATTTGAAAAGTAAAATCCTACAATAAAGGTTTCGGCAAAGTTAAGGAGGCATGACAATATAAATCCTTCCTCTAAAAGAAAAGGGCTAGCAGTAAAGTTACCATGACAAATGGCTTGGGACCGCAGTCAGGAGTTAAACTGATCAAAACTCAGTAGTTTTAGTCAACATTCTCTTAGAATCATAGAATATCTCAAGTTGGAAGGGACCCATAAGGATCATCGAGTCCAACTCCCTGCTACTCGCAGGACTACCTAAAACTAAACCGTATGACTAAGAGCATTGTCCAGATCATCAGATAACCAGGCAAATTTATGAGTGTCAGAGACTCAATACAGCTTGTTGAGAAGGTAAAAGTTAATGTAAGCAACTCAGAATCTATATTATGAATATACAATGTATATTCTGAATATAGTAGTTATTTTGAGAACTACTCACCTAAAACATTTTGGAAAGAAAAAAACATATTGAAAGACTGAAAAATACAAAAGTTTTATTCTGTGGCACAAAGGGAATAATACTCTAATTTTATCAACTTTAAAAAAAGTAATCAGGTGAAAAGTTCTAACACTGATGCAATCTTGGCTTTTCAGGCACAGAATTCATAACTGCAATCAGATTCTGTTTGCAGAACAGTTGCAGATAATGTTCTCACATTACAAATGTTTGACATAAATGTATGAAAAAAATACAAATTATTGAGAGGTATTTGTTTTCCCATTGTTATTGATACAAGGTTTAGGCTTACCAGACACATAACATCTAACTATTATAGAATGGAAATCCAGCCAAGATACCCTACATCTACCTTTACCTGGATAGTCAACTTGGCAAAAAAGACAGTTTGAAACTTGATGCTCAGTGGGTGGCAGAAATCTGCACTTTTGAAATCTAAGCCATGGAGATGAGACAGTTCTTTCAACATCATCGCAACTGAATACCTTCGCTGTCTGAAATCAATATATTGGCCACTGTTTAACAGAGTATTATGTACCAATTCAGAGATTGTTACTTGATTTTTTTAAAAATACAGTAACACTGATTTTCTGGTCTGCCTCAGCACAAGTAACATATTACACAGCACTTATACAGAGACAAAGAAACACAATGGGCTTTTTGGTGTTTTTTTTAAACTACTGTAAAATAAGGCATCCAAATTCAAGTCAAGAACTTAAATATCTCATTCGTTAAATCAAAGGCCAAATTAGGAGAAAATAATAAACAGCATCCACAGCAAGTCTTGTGAGTCATCCACTCAGATCAACAGGGTTTAAGGAACAGTCAAATATTGTGACAGTTGTTCCCTCACACGCAGATTATTCAGCATGATTTGTGAGACAAGAGTGAGCTCCATCATTGAAGTAGTGAGATCCAAAAAAAGCCAAAAAACTATTATTATTCTAAGGCTATAACATTTAAAGTAGAACATGAAGTTAATTATATATGCTGAAGATTAAAACCACGAAACTACGAAATATACTTATGGCACCAAAACAATGAAAAGACTAGAACTATACAGGCTACCCATCTAGCATCTACTTTCCAAAGTGAAAAAAAAAAAAAAGACACTTTTCTTTTTCCTTCTTTTTTTTTTTCCTTCAATCCAGCAGGAAACCTAGATAACATTAAGATCAGCATCCAGTGACAACTCAAAAGTTCCAAGAAAGAAATTTTAATGCAAGTTCATTCTGAGCCCGTGAACCGTTTTGCCTCACAGCTCTTAATTCTTTCATAAAAATATTTTAAAAGATTTTCAGCAAGAAATAGAACTATCAAAAAGAACAACAGCAAACCTGGTGTTAAAAAAAAAAAAAAAAGAAACAACAAAGTGTCATCTAACTACAAAATGAAAAACTAAAAATGAAGGGGGTGGGAGTGGAGGGACTGTATATCATACCTTACTAGGAATCCGAAAGCTTTCAATAGGACTCAGGTCATGAACACTCTCCTGAGGACTTCTTAGACCCTTTAAAAGAATTTTAATAGTCAGTTAAGATTGATTACTTTATGTATCTTGCAATCAAACTTCACAAGTCTTAGCTAGTGTTAAATATATACCTAAAAATCCTTTAATAAATTACACTGACATAAGGCTGGAAGGCTAAGACCTTATTCTACAAACATTTAAGCAAGACCATTGGTGTATAGATTATGCTCCTCAAACATCTGAGCATTTCCAACTTTATGCTGCAATATGTACCTTTTCAGTAGAGTTCATTAACATTCCCTTCATAAAGTTCACTTATATCCTCCTCTCAACTTCCAGATGTTATTTTAAATTTTAAAAAGTATGTGTCCAAAAAACATACCATACTTCGTTCCACTAATTTAATGATTTAATGGAATCAAATAATCAAATTCAAGTTAAGTGCCACCTACTCTGTACCAAAATTATATTATTTTTGCTTGGCGGCATATTTGTCTATTTACCATATAACACTATTAGGACTGGCTTTCCTTATGCAGAACTAAACTGAAAAAGATGCATAATCCACATTAGCTATTTTATATAATTATGACTCTTTAAAACACATATAGCCACATAAATAGAATATACTCTAGTAGACTGAAGCTTTGTATAGGAAGCATCAATTAACCAGCTGAGTATGTGCTTGCTGAATATCCACACATTCACAATTTTATGAAGCAATACCACAGAACATGCTGCTTAGCGCATTTTCTGCCAGCTTCTAGCCAGAGATGAATCTAAACATTCAGGTTTCAGATATGGTTCTGACTCCAGCTTCCCTTGAGACTTCAGGGTGTTCACTTGAGCCACAAGTTTCAAGCAGACTTCCCTCCTACTCTTGTGGTAGATGCTAACAGTACTGTTTCCAAGCCCCTTTCAGGCCCTGGGTACCTACACTTTCTTTGAAACAAAAGGACCTATGCAATTACTATGTGAGTTTATGATGACAAAAGTTTGTATTTATCCTTTGAAACTGATAAAGTGTTTTAAAAGTTCATCACCTTTGTGGTAACTACTACATTTTACAATTGTTTCATTTTCCTAGGATGCAAAATCTCTTCATTTTGGTTTTGATTCTCAGATTTCCTTGCACATCATTTCAAAACATCCTCCCTTTCCAGTTACCACCACCAAAGGTGACTCACCTCTATGCATCGAGAATTCAAGGTAACAAACAACCAAAGCAACTGCTGCAGCTTCTCATACTTCACATGAAATCTTCCACGCATTCTCTCAAAAATCTGCACTACTAGCAGCTTATCTTCAGAAGCAGTAAAAAGTTTCACTTATCAGATGCTAAATGGAACTTAATCCTTCCCAAAGGCTGAAAATTGCGTAAGTCGCATCATTTTCAGACCACAACATTTCCACACTGGGCAGGCTTCCCACAAGTCCTCTTAGTCAAGCTGAAAACTGATTGTTTACCCCTATACCAAAAGGGAGCAGAACATTTTGGATATTCAGCTTCCATGCTGATCTCCATTTTTAAGCCCTGTCTCCCACATTAAGTATCACAACTCTGAGGACACGGTTTAGAAAAAAAAACTAAAGTTCAGTTTCTGACTTTCCCATCATTTTCTATAACTACCTAGAATATCTGATGTGGTGGGTGACTCAAGTGATATTTTAAGTTCTCAAATTTAGACATATGGGCAAACAGGCCTCATTTTAGAGGTATTTCGTATACGTGAATGACTTGAATGCTCTTCTAATAACACTCCTTTAAAAAGGCTCGCAACCTTAGAAATACTGGTCCAAACGTAGACTAGATCTACACAACCCTAGAGACAAGTGGCGGAAGGTGAAGCGGGCTGGCAGACACACATGAGGTGCCCTGGCACACATCCAACATGTGCCCACCCAGGTACTCCCCCGGCACCTCCCCAGCCTCGCCTCCCTTCCCATCACAAGCGTTTGCTGTCAGACACGGCCATGTTACAGCACCGCGGCCCAGCGCTCCAAAATCATACGTGAAAAAAGGCAACTGCCGCAGACCAGTCGTGTCACCTTTAGCGCCGATCTGTCTGCTATCGCACAAGCTACGTGAGCGCATGCTTCCATTTCTTGATTAAAGAGGAAAAACAAGCTGGATGCAGGCGTACCAGGAGCTAATGCACACCCCGCCTGCCCTCTCCCCGGGAGCAGGACGGAGGGCCATGCCCGCGCCCCCGAGGCCCACCAGGGTGCCCGGGCACGGCCGCACACGCCCGCCCCGGCCCCCCC